TTCCAAAAGTTACCATCTGGGATACAAGTATTGATCAGAGGACGTTGGGACGGCTTTTTGTTTCTCCTGCATGTCTCCCTGCCTCTTATCCATCTACTTTTCTCCTTTCCTCCCTCCACCCCTGCAATAGCTGTCTGAGGCAGCCATGTCAGGTTGACAGCTGTAGTTCTCCTCATATCGAGCACGCCTCTGTCAGGTAGGTCATTTGGAGTGAAACTGGATAATTAGAGAGCTGAAGCAACAAACAAAAGCACTATCTATATATCAGTGTGTCTCTGTAGGTGTACAGGAGGAGGCGAGGCCTACCGCTGCACTGTTCAGTGCCACAGAGGTTTCAGTATTACAGTTCTCAATGGCAGATGGATCCCACCCCACCAGGTAAACTGGACATTGTGTTGCTTTATCACCAAATGTTGAATGTTAACTTATCATCTTGATCTTATCATTAAAAAAAACCCTTTTTGCTCTACATTTATCCTACACTGGGAACTGGATCTGAAACAAGCCTATCCAGAATTGGCCCAACAAATGCTCCAGTCTGACCCACTGGAGGGCTTTTGATGTGAAGGAGGCAATAAATGTTTGGACTTAAATATATTTTAATCAGTTTAATACATTTAATATGTTTTATAGCTTATCCTGCTGATAAAGACCTCCCTACATACTATAGCAAAGTAGTTAAATAATAGATAAACAATTAAATAAGAAAAATGTTCATGTTTTTTCACTGTTGACTATAGAAATGCATGTTTTTGTTTGTTTTTTTTACAATTGGTTCACAAAAAATGACTTTTTTTTGTTTTATAATTACATAATAATCTGGGAAACGTTACAAAAACTGTTTTGAAAATGTTACACATTTATTTCTTACAATTTGCTGTTGAAATTGTTTGTCTATTTCTTATATTAAGAGCAGCGGTCTCCAACCTTTTTTGCGCCACGGACCGGTTTATGCCCGACAATATTTTCACGGACCGGCCTTTAAGGTGTCGCGGATAAATACAACAAAATAAAACTAGTACCGGTACTGAAAAAAAGAAGATTTATTCATAACACACGTGAAAAGACCCAGGAAAACCGAGTAAACGATAAAAACGATAACAAAATTTCCCACCGAGGCTTCTAAAACCCTGAAAACTATACATTTCACACCTGAATCTCAGCTCTCGCGGCCCGGTACCAAACGACTCACGGACCGGTACCGGTCCGAGGCCCGGGGGTTGGAGACCGCTGATTAAGATATCTCAGTTAAACGTTTTTCACTGACAGAGAGAAAGATCACTTAAGATCAAAGTGTGCCCACAATGTAAAACGGTTTTGACAGCCCTGATTTATGATTGGCTGTCCCTTGAGAACAAAAGGTTTGTATGTCAGGTGGGCGGGGCTGCTCTGGTCACATCTCAAGAAATGAGAGGCCTGAGATGGACATGTTATATTCACTCTCAGTGAGGTCATACAGAGACATGGGTACAAAAGACGAACTTGTACCCCCGCTAACCTCGTCAGATGGGACTTTGGCCATGTTTAATATGAGCATCTATCTCTGCAACAGTATGTAAGGACCACTTACACAACGTGTTGTCCAAAAAGTAGAAGATTGTTGATGGTATTTTACTCTGCATGGAAAATAATACATCCATTATTCTACAATAGTAAAATACTCTCATCACCTGCTTCACAGGTTTATTGTCTTGTCTTTTTTCACCTTCCTGTTTTAATTTCAGAGAAAGGCAGAACTGGAGTGTTTCCATGGTTCGTGGGATCGTGCCGTTAGCTGTCAGCCCGTAGACTGTGGCTTTCCTGATCAGTCTCATGTCTACCACGCCATATTCAGTTGTCCTTGGGGAACCACGTTTGGCAAACAGTGCTCCTTCACCTGTGGATCACCAGCCATTTTACAAGGTAGCTCAAGGCTTTACATTTCATACTTTAACTATCCTGCACACTAATGTTGCAGTACCTTGCAAAACTGTCATTATTACCTCTGATCCTTTTTTCACACACTTCATAACAGAGGTGAAATTAACAGTGGTTCAGTTTGACTGAGGTCTTTCCTTTTCATAACTGAATTCTGCATTGAAGCAACTGTTTCTGATCCCATGTGGTGTATAAATGGTAAACGGACTGATTCTTTCAGTGCTTTTCTTCTATCTTGGATCATTAAAACACTTTATACAGCATGCCTCATTCACCCATCCACACAAGCACTTTTTTCCTGTGCTTTTTTAATTGCTTTCTATGTAACATTCACACTCCAATGAATGTATCAGAGAGCAGCCTGGGGTTAGCATCTTGCCCAAGGATATTTGGCATGCAGACTGGAGCAGATGGGGATCGAACCGCCATCCTTCTGATCAGTAGATGAGCCACTCCATAGGGTGGCA